TTCGCCGTCAGTAAAAAGGGCGAGTCAAGACAAGTGATTTACAACTGCACTCCTGACTAGGGTACCTATCACGAAATGATTGACCGTAAAGAATGATGCAGAATCCTTATGCATACCATATGAAGACAAAGATATGGTAGAAGTCTTATCTAGCAGTTTCGAATCCAGGGAGGCCAGCGAATATAGCAGCTCTATCAAGCTGTAAAAACTCATTTTAGAATATCATCAGTGGAGCGGTAGCACTTCTTTTTACTCAAAGACATTTGTAAATACAACACCTACTTTGAAATCTTTCCAAGCGTCACACAACTGCACAATATAACCATCTGTCCTAGTAAAGGGCAACACATAGCCGACTCCGGTATGATTAGATTCAGACGTAAGACCAGGGAAGTATGCAAACTCTGAGCCCAGATCCGTTTCGGGACTAAACTGTTGTCATGTGATACTGCTCAACTATTATTTGCGTACCTGAGACTATCCAGAAAGGCAGTAGGCGTCTTTTCGTCAGCCCCATGAATGCCTGTCGTGGAATCGCTTACATCGGATGAGCCACACAACAGTTTATGTAATTCCATCTCAATTTTCTCAGTTGCCCCAGCTGATATGTCAGTGGAAGCGCTCACTGATGGTGATTTGAATGCAGTGAAGGCCTAAAGAAGAACATTCGATGCATCTAAGAAAAGGTGCCACTAGATGCGCTGACCGATGTTTCACTCAGGCTGATCCTTGCTGATCTTTCCTTGGGAGCAACATAGACAGGACGGTTCACGAAAGGAGCTGGAGCTTGCTGTGCTGGAATTGCTATCGGATGGGCAATCTGAGGCGGTGCAATTTTCTCAGTCGATCCACGAAAAGTTTTGCCAGCAGAACCTATGTTGAGTACCACTTTATGCAAGATCCAAACATAAAAGCGATCGAAATGAGAGTAAACGAAACGTTCACTTACTAGCCAACGGATTGAGCACAGCCTTCCCCAGAGGACTTTGTTCAAGAGGACGGAACTGGCTTGCGTGAGGCGGGTGATGGCTTCCAGTAGCTGCTACAAATCTCGATGCACGGTCAAGTAGACCGTCGCGAGGGCTAAACGTAGTTTGGGACGCCAGGTTCGGTATATTTGCGGAAGTATTGGAGATAGCTTCTTCCAAAGAGGGCACATTCGGAAGTGGTACCGTCTAGAATCTCGATTTTTTTAGTGCGATGTGTAAGGAGCAATCGACAACATACCGTGCGCCGCTTAGGATCGCAAGCGGAGTTGACCGTTGTATTCGGATATAGTGACGGTGAGAATAATGCATCCATGACCGCCGAGATATCTATACAGACAAAAATTCCACAATTTTCGAACTATCAGAAATAAGACTCACCTTTAGTATGCGCATCTCCAAATGTGGATAGGTTACCCGGCTTTTGTTCATGTCCTCTTTGCCGCTCCGCAGCCTAGAATGTGAATAGTTACCAAAAGCAACCGAGTAAATCAAGGATGCAAACGGAATTCCAGGGTGTTTGCCAATCTGAATGATCTCTATCTAGTGAACAGGAATGAGCGTTTTATGATAGCAAGCTTTCGGGTAAGTTCCATTCATGCTTTAGATTATAAGCATGTGACGGAATTAAGCGAAAACATTTCTCTCTCTTTATAACTATGATCTACTCAACTTCATTCCTTTACAAAAGCCCGAAAACGTTAGGAGAGATGAGCTTGTAAAATTTTCACAAAACTGATTGAAAAGACAAACCGCTATCGCTCGTCGTTCCTGCTCCTTCACGATATACTTTTGAAGATCCTGAACGAATGGCATAACGGTGTAAAAGTTGTGGTTGGACAGGATGCCAAATCGATGTTGATCATTGCGGTCAGTTGGAAGATCCCACACATTGAACCATTGTATCTTCCTTGAACATTTGCATGCA